TGAAGTTGATGGATGCCAATAAAAGCAATAAGGCCATTAATGATATCAGCAATAATGTTGGTACTGAAAACAACAAGTTATTTGAATCTTTCAGGAATAGAAAATTATTTAATCAGCACAGCAATATTCATGAAAAAAATCTTGAGTGTGAAAATCCAAGGATGTAACAAAATATTTTGCCAAAAAGGCAATTTGCTATATCACACCAAGCACCATCTTAGAATAAGAGAATTCAAGTGTGAATACATACCAGGATGTGCAAAAAAACCATTTTGTTGAAATATGAATTAAAGGTTCACACAGAAGCCATTTTGGAATAAACATGAATGGCAAAGCATTTTGTCAAAATTATGTATTAAAAGTTCGCACAGAAGTTCATTTTGGAATAAATTAAAATTTGAAAAACACCAGTTGTTTGCCTTCAAATGTTGTTGATAAATGCCCAATTGTTTTTTTTTTCAAAAAAGTGGCCGAAGCTTGACACACAAGTAAGTATTATTAGAGAATGATTGTTTTCTAATTTATTATTTAACTTTGACTTCTATTTATACTTATTTAGCAACCAATCAATTTCCAATTACTTTTCTTCATTACTACCAACACTTGATCAGCTCAAAACATTTTGTCTATCTGGCAGTTTACTAAAGCATAAAAGATCGTAAATGGTAATGTACCTGAATGTGACAAAAAATTTGTTACAAAAATATAAACTCAACAAACACAAATTAAATATGATGATTTAATTAAACAAACATACTACATACACCGTGAATTTCAATTCAGCAGATCTTAATAATAATAAAAATCTTGATTTAATGGATTAATAGAAATTCACTTTTAATTTACAAAATGTTTGTTTTATTATTGATTTTTTAATCATATTATAAAAATGTAATTTTTTATCAGTTTAGTATATTGATCCAAAAAATTAATATTATTGGTGATGGTGGTGGTGGTGAACAAATTCAGGAAAAGAAGAGGAGTGAAGAAAAATGGAAAAATGGAAAACCTTAATCATAAAAATGGTTTCAAATAATTTTTATAATTGGTATCAATTCCAGATCTGCCCACAACAACCAGGTTTTATTTATTTTAAAGTTGGCATATATTTGGTGTGTGTAAATAATATTCAGCTAAATTATCTTATTGGCATATGAATTGACTTTGAACATTCCAACAAGTTTTAGAAGGGAAGGGGTCGGTTGATGTGAGCCACATCAATGTTAACATATCAAGTTCACATTTCATGAGACAACAGAATGTCTCATGCCCATCTTAAATTTCATTGGGCATATTCAATTTTACAAAATTTTTATATTTCTTTCATTTAGTGATGAAAGCATCTGATTGCAAAATTTCAACTAAATATCAGGCATGGCTTGGAGAATGTCAAAATACGCAAAATGCCAGTATTCCATATTTGGCAAAGTCCTACTTTTCTTATATATATTTAAGAGAAGACTAAAGAATTATATTAAAAAATTTATCATAAAAGAGAGAAAATGAAACAATTACTAAAATTTTTGAACTGCGTAATTCTCATCCCATTTATTATTTGTTTATTATTAATTTATTGTTAAATATTAAATCCCAGTTAGCAAATATAATTGGGCCTTTACAAAAGCCTTTGAACATGATTTTGAATTCAACCATTTTTTAAAGGTTATAAGTATTTATTGATTTTTCTAGGTCATTAATTTTGGGATTTATTTTTTTGTCAAAGTTCCATCCATATAATGTATTGGATATGTAATCATAATCATCATTAATTAGCTTCATTGCTGTCCGATAAAGGACGTATGCAAGGTTGACAAATCCAATGAGGAAATGTTTTGTAACCATTTTCATCCTTCCTAATGTCTATATTTTCATCATTTTCTGCAGCTGTTTTCTATATATATATAATATTTAATAATTTAATTAATGGAATGAACAACAACAACAATATACGTACCATTAATCGTTTATTTAATTCTTCAGATATTGAACATATTTCTTCAAAACTGTTTGCTTTACCTAATTTTTCTCTTAAATCTACATGAAAAGGTAGTGCAGGCTTATAAATTTTAAAAAGGTGACCACGAATACAAGTAAGTCTGGTGGAAATAGTTTTACAAATCTCTAAATATTCAGCTGACATTTGCCATACTGGAGGATTTATTCCAGCAAAAATTGCCGGATTATAAAGATTTCCTTCAGCTGACATTATTCCATCAACACCAGTTATGTCTATGCAATTTTGGATGTCTTCAAAGTAAAGAATATTTCCATTAGCAAAAACTGGTATTTTAAGTTCTTTCCTAAATCCATCATTGTCATAATTCGAAATTAGATTCAAAAAAATTTTTTTAAAAAAAAGATAATTCAGTATTGAATAATATTTTATATATATACATATATATACTTTATACGACGAATCTGTTCCCAATCAGCCAAAGCAGTTTTATGACCTTTTTGATCACGTATTCGACCATGTACTGCTAATAATTGTGCACCAGCACTTTCAATCATTTTTGCATATCTTAAAGTTTTCTCAACATCAGGAAAAATACGGATTTTGGCTGTTACAGGAACTGAAAGATTTTTATGAAGTGTGTTTACTAAACAATTTTTTTTTAAAAATTAATATATTAATAATATAAATATTTATCAAAAATAATTATATATAATGTTACAATTATAGTTATAATTACTTTATATCTTAATATTTACTTAATTTATAAATTAATTCCCATTCGTCTTGTAAATAAGAACCATAATGACCTTTCCTTGCAATATGTTGAGGACATCCTAAATTTAAATCAACACCATCACAATCATTTTGAATTTTCAAAGCTGCTTTTAATAATATATCTGGATCATTTGCACAAAACTATATAAATATTATCAATTTAATTGATCAATTACATAAAATATTTCAAGGTTTTAATTTTTTTCTAATAAAGAAAAGCCAATAAACCTGAACAATTAATGGTCTGTCATCTTTTCCAGTTGACCAAACATCTTTTCGATACTGTTTATTACTATCTTCACAAAACATTTTTGCATGTAACATAGGTGTATAACATACTTGAGCCCCATATCTGCGTGATAAAACTCTCCACGAGTATTCAGATTGATCCACCATTGGAGCTAATATATATTTTGCATTTTTTAAAACTTTGTTATAAAATTCGTATCCTTGCAATTTTTGTGGTTGTGCCATTAGTATTAGTATAATTAGGATTGAATTAAAAAAAAAAAATAATGTGGGCCATAACCAAAGTGGACATTTGCATTACCAAGAATTTCAGGGATCATAGATGTTTTGTTATGTGTAACATAAAATTCGGATATAACCACACTAATGGTCATTGTTGAGCTTTTGGTTGGTCACTATTGAGCTTGAAAACGTACAAGGAATATTCAATTGGTAGCATTTTTGAGGTCATTGTTGAACTTGAAAAATATACCAGGAATATTCATTAAGCCAGTAATTCCAAGGTTATTATTGAGCTTGGAATATATTATTTGGTTAGTAATTTCAAGATCATCAAAATATATATTGACTTTTTTTGAATTAAATGGTCAGTATATGAATTGGGAAAACCAAAAGAATGTAACAAGTGTAAAGCAACAAGATACTCTGATAAATTTTGTGAAAATTGTGTTAGTCTACATTTGCAAAGTCTTTTCAATAATTGGACGAACATCCGGAAATGAGATAATTGATAACTTTATTCAACAATGTCAAAGCTTTCATCTCCTCCAACACATATTTTAGATTGGGTAAATACCTTATGAGCAATTTGAAAATATAAAAAAGTTGACAAAATATCGATTCAGTTCAATTTCCGGGGGGGGAGAGGAACTATTTGTGATTTTATGGTGAAAAATAAAAAGGAATTTATTTATGATGAGCTTACCTTGTAGTATTAAAATCATTAAATAATTCAAGTAATCCAGGAAAATATTTTTTTATGGGGTAATTAAGCTTATATATAAACTAAATTAAATTAAACCATTTATTTTATTTTATTGATTGATTTAATTTATATAATTAATTACAGGCATCAAATTATTGTAAAATTAAATCAAATTTTGTTGTTAATTAATTGTCATTATATAATTAATTCCCAGGAAACGGAAATTATGAAATAGTTTTTAATTATCATCCGGTGGGAAATTTAAAAGATTATTTACAAAATAATTTGACATCAAACGACAGAATTCGAATTTTAGACATTTATGTAATTCATTGTCTGAAGATTATGTGGACCAGTTGATGAAGAACTATCAAATAAACCTATGGAATTGTATCATATATTGCACCGGAGCTATTTAAAGGAACCAAGAAACAAAGAATCAGATATCTATAGTGTTGGTATGTTAATACGGGAATTATTTGCAGGCAACCCACCATTTGATAATAGAGCTCATAATCATTGCTTAATTATAGATATATATATGTGGAGGTTTACGACCACCAATATTACCAGTAACACCTGATGATTATGCACTAATGATGCAAAGATGTCGGGATGCGGATCTATTAAAAAGACTAACTATTAAAGAGCTTTGGGAATTTGCCGATGATAAATTAAAGGAACTGATGAAGATATTGGTGGTGATGATGGTGATAATAATAGTAGTAGTAATAGTAGTAGCAATAGTAAATAGTAATTTACAACAAGCATAGAATATTAAATTATGAAATACCTAATTTAAATTTAAACAATAGTGATAATTTATTAAGTGATCTTGATATTAATTCTGTTATCTGAAATATTAATTAATAATAATAAAGGATAAATAGTTGTAAGGTTGATAAGGTTGAAAATTTGATTTCACCATTATTGATTTCATTTAAATTTTTTATTTTGTTTATGTTTTATCATATTATCTCTTTAAAAAAATATTTGTATGTCGCTCACCACTCCCTATTAGAAATATAGCGCTGTAATTGAAAAAAGAAATCCAACTTTATATTAATTTAAT